GTGTTACCTGTTGCAAAGTCCATCAGGGGATCGACTGAAAACGCGGAACTTAAAAAACCTCAAAGTGGAGCTTTCTTTAAATAAATTCTGTAAAATAGTTACCATGGTGGGTAACATTTCAAATGTCTCCCAGAACTCTTATACTCCACAATTTTTATTTTTATTTATTATTATTTTTTAAAATTTATTTTATTTATTTTGAAAGAGAGAGCACAAGCAGGGAAGTGACAGAGAGAGAGAGAATCCCAAGTAGGCTCCACACTCCTCCACACTGTCAGCACAGAGCCCAACACATGGCTTGAATTCACGATCATGACCTGAGCCTAAATCAAGAGTTAGCTGCTCATCCGACTGAGTCATCCAGGCACCCCAAGTCCACAATTTTTAAATGATGAAAATTAAACTAATGAATACATTTCAGAAAAAAATTTGCAAAAATTTTAATTAGTATATTCATGTGTTCGTGTAATAAGCACTCATTAAATACTATGTGCTAGCATTTATGCTAGACACTGGGCAACGATAGTTACCATTTACTGAACTTTGATGTTGATATTTCTCTTCTCATTTTATTGTTGAAGACATGGTGAAGTTAAGCATCTTTCTGGAAGATCTCAAGTCACACAGTGGCAGCACCAGTATTTGAATCCTCATCTATTTTGTTCCAAAGCTGGCCCACTGCATTAACTCTAGTAATTTGGATTACAGATGGATACTTCACTAAATGAATTACTATAGGGGTCCTGTAAATAGTGAGCATCCATAGGACTCTTTATATTGAATTCTTACCATGTTCAAGAATAAATCTACTATGAAAACCACACCACCACAGTGGTTTATGCGGGGGAGATCTCATTAAATATTGATGAATGAATGTAACTTAAGTAGGTTAGCTCTAGAGTTACTATGACTACATTAAAGTTCTCTATTTTACTAGGTAAGCTTCACATTGCTTATTTGTAAATTCAAGCAAAGTACTTTTTTGTCTTAAAACCACTGGGAAGAATAAAAGAGATACTGTCCAGGTAACACCTAGCACTCAATAAAAAGCAGTTGAAAAGCATGCTATAATCTTGAAATGATTATGTTAAGGTCATAAATTGAGACCCTAGGTAGATATTAGGTGGACAGGTCTAAGAATTATTAGATAGAAAGAATCATAAGGACTACCGGGGGCAAGTAGGAAAAAGGAGTCATTGAGAGACCTACGATTATAGGGTTGATATCTGCTGAGTAATGATGTGGTTAAAGACAGAAATTGTGAAGTTAGAAGCAATACTGGATTGTGCAAGGTGCAAGGTGCAAGGCTTTTCATGATCTTCTGAGGACAAAAAGAGATGCAGGATTTGAATAAGCAAAGAAGATAGAAATTGTATATTAGTTAAATGATTAAATGAAAAGACGGATGAATTAATACATAAAAAATTAATTCAGAATGGGGCGCCTGGGTGGTTCAGTTGGTTAAGCCTCCGACTTCAGCTCAGGTCATGATCTCACAGTCGGTGAGTTCGAGCCCCGTGTCGGGCTCTGTGCTGACAGCTCAGAACCTGGAGCCTGCTTCAGATTCTGTGTCTCCCCCTCTTTCTGCCCCTCCCTTACTTATGATCTGTCTCTCTGTCTCGAAAATAAATAAAAACATTAAAAAAAATTTTTTTTAAATAAAAAAAATTAATTCACAATGTACTTATTGGGTGCCAGGTACTACGAACTTATTGCCTAGCAAGACAAGATTCATGGTGGTAGTTTTAGAATTTCTATAAAAGAGAACCTCGGGGATAGTAATCTCATTTGGAAGGGTGTGGAGAGAGGGGTATGGGTGGGGAAGGGGATTTGTCTTAATGACTCTGTAATCTCTTAGCACTTTAGCTGAGGTCTGAGAAAATACCAAAAAAGAGGGAGGGGCACTGATTGAGATTAGGCTAGAACAATTGTCCTCAGACCAACCCTCAACTCTGCCACTGCAGACATATAAGGCAGACATATATAAACAATAATAAATTACCAAGATACTTATTTCAACAGATCTCTGAATAAAGAGCTATGTCAGCATGGAGGTGCAAGCATTTACTTTTCCTCGGGGAAAGAGTAGATAAGGGAAGGATTTAATAAAAAGTTGTGATTTTAATACACCCTTGTTTATTACACTTGAAAAAGGGAATTAATGTTCTAAACACAAGGAACAACACAGATCTTCAAAGACAGAATAGAGACCCTGCAGACTGTTTCGAACTTGGCTGAAGCGGAGGTAAGGCTGGATATGAAGTGTTAGCAGTGGCCCAATCATCATAGGCTTCCATGTTTTGAAATTCATTCTATAGTTTTTAAAAAAAAATCTTTTAATGTTTATTTATTTTTAGGAGAGACAGAGAGAGAGAGAGAGAGGCATGCACATGTGTGCAGGAGCAGGGGAGGGGCAGAGAAAGAGGGAGACACAGAATCTGAAGCAGGCTCCAGGTTCTGAGCTGTCAGCACAGAGCCCGACATGGGACCCAAACTCACAAACTTGAGATCATGACCTGAGTTGAAGTCAGATACTTAACTGACTGAGCCACCCAGGCGCCCCCTGAAATTTATCCTATGATTGATGGGAACCACTGAAGGATTTCAGTCACTGGCAGTGACAATGATAAAATGCTACCAAACATTTTACTAAGATCAAAGGACTATGCATTTGAAAGAGGTACGAGCAACACGACCACCCCAACCTCTTCTTTGTGGTCCCTATACTCAAGGAATTTACATTCTCATGGGGAGAGATAGACAATAAAAAATAGACATATGATACAATATCAGGTAGTGATAAGTGCTGGAAGAATAAAGCAGAGGAAGGCATAAAAGGATTGGGCGGAGGTATTTGTCTTAAGGCAAACTCAATGTTCTTTTCACTAATCTCATCTCATAGTCACATTAAAAAAATTGGTTTCAAGTCCTCTCTCTTTCCAACACAACAACTCTACTATACTGAAATCTTAATGTTGTGAACCTAACCATGTATTTCATTTATTGTCTAATAATCCCTTTACTTTCTTCAGTATCTGTGTTGTCTTGCCAAAGCCCAGAAAATGAGGAACACATTCCCCTCTGAAGGTTACAGAACTCATTATCAGGCTGCACTGAAAACCTTTCTCTACCATTTCTTCTACAGTGTCTCTACATTTCACCCAGACACAAGTCTTCACAATTTTTTAAGCCCTCAATTTCTGTAGTTTGGCTCACAAGATTTGTTTATGTCTCCTTCCCTTTCTTCTTTCATTTTTTTGCTTAAGAAACATGCTCTGTATTGAGCACTTAGTTTGGCAGACACTTGGCTAGGAACAGAGAAGGGCAAAAGGCAGTCCTGACCTCTGGAGCTGATAGCTGTGCTCAGGGTAAGAGGAGACTTTCGGGGCAGGGGATCTGAAACCTGTTAAGCTGAAGTGGACGAACCACTTGCTGTTGGGCCTTAGATGCCTGGGTTGAAGTTGATACAATCCTGGGTGATATTGACAGTGCTCAGAGGCCTAAGATAAGGGGAGCAGCATATTAATTGTTCGTCAAGGGTTTCCAGTCCTTTCTCCAAGTGCGAAGTCCTGGCCAACCTCCCACCCTTCGACACCTGGGGCCTAAATAAAGGAATGCAGATCCTCGGGAGCTACCTAAATCTACTGAATCACAATGTCTAAAGGTGGGGCCCAGAAATCTGCACTTTAATCATGAATATCCCCAGGCCATTGTTATGTACACTTAAAATTTGGAAACCCTAGGATTCTCCTACCTTTCATCACTTCACTTTCACCTGAAGTAGTTACAAACATCATTGCTATATTCTGGAGAAGGAAATTGAGGCATAGAAAGGTTGTTTAATTTGCTAACGTCACACAGAGCTAGGTTTTGAATATACAACTATCTAGATGCAGCTCCTAGTCTTTTTTTTTTAATTTTTTAAAAAATGTTTATTTTTGAGACAGAGAGAGGCAGAGCATGAACAGGGGAGGGTCAGAAAGAGAGGGAGACACAGAATCCGAAGCAGGCTTCAGGTTCTGAGCTGTCAGCACAGAGCCTGACATGGGGCTCGAACTCACGGACCGTAAGATCATGACCTGAGCCGAAGTCCGACGCTTAACCGACTGAGCCACCCAGGAGCCCCGATGTAGCTCCTAGTCTTAAACATTACAATATGGTCCCACCTCCTCTTAGTATATGATTTGTTGCTAATATTTCAAGAAGCACAGGGCTTGGAGTTTGAAAAGAGTCTGAAGGCCCACTAAGTTTAGTCTGATGAACTTCGGCGACTCACTCACATTTTGAATTTCAAGTCCCTCGCCGTTTAAATTTAGGCCCAAACACCCCCACCTGCAAGATGCCCTGATGGGAGAGACTAAGCAGCCGACAGAGCAGGGAGGCGATCGATGATTTAGGCGCGCCGCTGCCTGTTGGATTGGCTCGAGGCTCTCCCGTCAGGCCTGCCCTGCTCCCGCGCGCTCGTGGGCCCGCCCCCGCTGCCATCTTGGCCTAGGCGGGAGCGAGCCGCACGCGAGAGTAAACAGCCCGAGCCGGGAAAGTCGAGTTCCGGCTGCGTCCGGGTGCCGCGGGCTAGCGGCGGAGAGGACGCAGACCTGATCTTCGTACGTGGGGTAAATATCTGGGTCACGGTGCTAGGCCGCGAGGAACCCTCAGTGAGGCTCACCCTCCGCCCCCTCGCGGCGAGGTGCCTTGCTCCCCGGGCTTCTCCCGCCCCCCGCGGGTCTCCTCCCACTGTTGAAAGCTGCCCGGGAAAGTGGTGGCGGGAGCGGGCCTGGGCCGGAGCGCAGCGTGGACCCGGCTGCGTGTTGCGAGGCTCAGGAGGAGGTTAGAGTCTTGGATTTGGGGGCCAGGGGCCAGGCATGTAGACGCAGTGGTGCAGTGAAGCTGGGGTCGGGCGCTCGGGTCTGGGGCCCGGACTCCGACCGAGCCACTGCGGGGCTGTTTCTGTCGGTCACTGGATTTTCTCCTTTTCCGGTTCGTGCCTCAGGGTGGCCGACATGACGGCCCCGGGTGCAAGCCCCCTGGCGCCGCTGTTGGAGACTTTGGAAGACCCTTCCGCCCCCCTTGGAGAGCAGACCGACGCTTACCTGACTCTGACCAGGTAAGGCCCGCTGGGGTTGGGGAGGAGATAGTTGCGGTGGGGCACGCAAAACAGTTTGTGTATTCTAGAAGTCTGCTTGCTATGAGGACGCCGGGGTCGTGGGCAAGGTGGGGGGTGGTGTTGCGTGCTAAGTGACGTCCCCGGTGTTGCTGCAGCGCTCAGGGCGTGTGTTTGGAATGAGGAAGCCCGCACGTGCGTCTCGCAGGCGAAGCATTTTTTTTTTTTTTTTTAAGTTGCGTTAGAAGTGGGTGTGCTGGCGGTATGGTTTTCATTGTAAGTTGCCCATGTATTTGGGGCAACGTGGCAACCCAGAATTGCTTTTTTAATAGGGAGCAGTAACCCGGGTTTCATTTTTAATTGCAAATGCCTTGCAGTATTTTTTTCTTTGCAAATCGTATTTTGCTGAATTATCTGTAGTTATTTGGAAATGCTAACAATTGTAACAATTGGCACAAAACTATAAAGGCACAGTAAATTTCTAGTAAATTGGTAATTGGAGCTAGGTTTTCATGTTTCCTTTTCACATAGTGATACTGTCCAAATGTGTACACTTTGGATGCAAAAGTTATTCTTAGGGTTTTTTTCTGCGTTAATTTTGGACATTATTACATGATAAATTGTATATACAAGTATTAAGTATTTTAAGCACTGGACCAATCAAATTGGTAGAGTTCTAACAAATTGTAGAAAAGAGTATACAAGTGAGTATTTTAGGGAATGATTATAATTTCTTTTGTGTGTCATTTGCATAACCTTGTGTTCTTTCTGCTTTTAAGTCGAATGACTGGAGAAGATGGAAAAGAAGTCATTATGGAAATTGAGAGAAAACTTTCTCGGCTATTCAGAGTTTTAAAAGTATGTCTCTGTTTATTGAATGGTTTTTACTTTGTAGGAAAAAGATTTTACCAGCTAACTCATAAGAACTTTGTTGTTGTTTTTTATAATATTTATTTTTTCAGAGAGACAGTGACTGTGAGCGGGGGAGAGGGAGAGACAGCGAGGGAGACACAGAATCCTAAGTAGGCTCCAGGCTCTGAACTCAGTACAGGGCTGCAACGCGCCAACCGTGAGATCATGACCTGAGCCAAAGTCAGATGCTCAACTGAGTCACCCAGGTGCCCCACTCAAAAGAGCTTTGAAATGAGAGGCGCCTGGGTGGCTCAGTCAGTGTAGCCTCTGATTCTTGATTTTGACTCAGGTCATAATCTCATGGTTCCTGAGTTCGAGTTGGGCTCCCAACTAACAGCTCGGAGCCTGCTTGGGATTCTCCCTCTTCTCTGTCTCTGCTTCTCCCTGCTCTCTCAGAATGAATAAATTCAAAAAAATTTTGAAATGAAACAAAAGCAGGATTATTTTGAGTACTTAATATGTATCAAGTACTTTTAAAATTAGTTTACATGTATTCTGCCACTTAATCCTCTATGTCCCTATGAGGGTACTCTTTAATCCCCGCTTTGTAGAAGAAATTGGTTTAACTTGCCTAATGTTGCCTATGGCTACATAATCTAAAACCTGTGCTTTTAATTTAAAAGCAATTATCAGAGATTATTTCATGTTTTCTGCCGTTTGATAGGAGTGTACTTCTAAGTAAACGATTTCTGTAATTTTGTCTTTGTTTTGTGGGTAGCATTCATTTTTTTTTATTTTTTTAAAGCCTTCATTCACCATCAGTTTTTGCCACTCTTGCCTGGTTAAAAAACTTATTGTTATCTTTTTTGCTTATTTTTTGGGAGGTGTTTAACATCAGACTGAGGACTTCTGTTGTTATCCTCACTTGAGTATACAGTGGCTTTGTGACTGCTCCTAACACCCAACTTCTGAATTCCTTGCTTTTTAGAATGAAAAGGTTGAACTGAATCTCCAGAGTTCTTATTTTTATGACTGTGTTTTTGTGCTTTAAAAAAAGTATTCTGTCATATTTAGTGTACATTTTAGCATGATTTCTGCCTAAATGTTGAGGCATTTAAGGTACTCCTTATCCTTAAGGGTACCTCTTACAGTCCTCAGTGCTTTTTGTTCATGTAAGCAGGAGCTTTTTTGTGTAGTAGTTCAAGGCTTGTTAATAGTATTATTAAACAACATTAATCGTCTCATTTTTTTTCCTTACCATTTTTCACATTCCAGCAGTATATTGGATGCGATGAAAACATGCATTTTTATAAATTTGGTGTTTGAGAACATGCAAGATCAGGAACTCAGTGGCATGCACTGTTAATAGAATTTGTAACTTAAATGCCTGATGAATAATTATTTGGCATGTGAGTGGTTAATAGTAAAATCAACAGAAGCTTGACAATCAACAAAAGCTTTCTGGGTGAATTATTAAGCACTGCAAGGATAATTGAACTCCTTTAGAACAAGAACCAGGCTGGTCGAAATACAACATGTTTCTGTATTTAGAATACTGTTAGTATCAAGTCCAGGAACCCACAACATTTTTTTTTAATGTTTGTTTATTTTTGAGAGAGAGACAAAGCATGAAGGGGCGGAGGGGCAGAGAGAGGGAGACAGAATCAGAAGCAGGCTCCAGGCTCCAAGCTGTCAGTACAGAGCCTGACACAGGGCTCGAACTCCCGAACCTGAACCTGGAGAACATGACCTGAGCTGAAGTCAGAGACTTAACCCACTGAACCACCCAGGTGTCCCCCCTGCCCCCGCCCCAAGCATTCTTGAAGACAACACTGTTAAGGAATACTTTCAGGCAATATATATTTAATAAGAGTTGATCCTAGATATTCTCCTGGAGATACAGCAGTGGCTCTCAAAGTCTTAGGTGTTTAAGACTGTCTTTTTGTGGTTCTTTGAACTGGTTGTTCTGTTATCTCTTATGCTTCAGAGTTTGGTCTTTTTTATTGTTTTGTTTGATTAATTATAAAAGAGGTGTCCCAAGGAAGTGTCTGTTCATATACTTTACTATTTTTCCTGCTCAAGAGCAGCAAATAGCTGAGAATTTCTTGGATATCTGATTCAGAGCAGTGGGAGGATTTGAAGATAAATCACTTTGGAATAGGAAATGGTACCAAGAAAAACACAGGGTTACAAATAATTGTAGGGTTGGGGAATATAGCAAGATTACCTTTGACAGGTTTGGGATTTTACAGCTTTCACATACATAATATGGATTGGGCTTTGAATTCCAGATGGACATTAAAATTTTCCAATCTGCAAAGTAGGGATTTCTTTTAAAAGATTCAGATAGTGCTTAAAGCTTCTATCACTTTAGATTCTCAGTAAATGTTACATTCCAATTCCTCCCTGTCGTAGAGGTGTCACTCCACTCTAAAGCTAGAATGTCAGCTTTTGTCTTTGAGTCTTTTGCCTATCTTTTGTGGAGGTGTTTTCAGCATTTTCCATTTGTTGTCTTTTTTTTATTGCCTTCAGGTGTGTGGAGTTGGAAAGAGAACACTTTTTTTTAGGTGGTCTGTATCTAGTGCCATTCTTCCTTTTTTGGCCAAGCTATGTACATGACTCCTGATTTTATTCCTTTTTTATCTACTCAAACATTTGATTGATTAGGCTAAAATAATTTTGTTTTCGGGGCACCTGGGTGGCGCAGTCGGTTAAGCGTCCGACTTCAGCCAGGTCACGATCTCGCGGTCCGTGAGTTCGAGCCCCGCGTCAGGCTCTGGGCTGATGGCTCGGAGCCTGGAGCCTGTTTCCGATTCTGTGTCTCCCTCTCTCTCTGCCCCTCCCCCGTTCATGCTCTGTCTCTCTCTGTCCCAAAAATAAATAAAAACGTTGAAAAAAAAAATAATAATTTTGTTTTCTGGTCCACTTTTGTTCCTTAAGAATTTATTTACGGTTGTAATTGTTTGTAACAAATGTGCTTTTTGTTTTTACAGATTCACATTTCCAGTCAAAACTCAGACCTCAGTAGTGCTGCTCTACAGGCCTTGGGGTTTTGTTTGTATAATCCCAAAATTACCTCAGGATTATCAGGTAAATTTATTATGACTTAATATTTTTTAGAGTTTATAAATATAGTTTGGTATGTTAAAAGTACTGTTACTTTTCTATTAGTTTCGTGATTTGTAGTCTAGGATTCGCTTTTGACAAAGAAATGATGTTTTGTCATCGTTAGATCTTTTTTCTAGATGTAGCTTTAACTCTGATACCATAAAATTTGCTCTAAAAAGAGCATAAGTCTATTTTAAAAATGATTGCAGTGAAAATTGAACCTTTTCCTGTATAAAGCATATCTGCTTTAGAAGTTAGTAATTTAGATGGTCATTTATTGTAGTATAAAACAAGCATATGCACTAAGGAACATGCTGAATTGAAGATCTTTCATGTAGTGGTATTGGGGTAATTTGGAACCAAAAGTAGCTAAGTTTTCAAGTAATCTTAATTATTCTTTTGTAGTTTGCCATTTTATTTTATTTTTTTAATTTATTTGAGAGAACAAGAGAGGGGCAGAGAGAGGAAGAAAGAGTCCCATGCAGGCTCTGCTCACAACGTGGAGCCTGATTGGGGGGGAGGGTTCAAACCCACAAACCATGAGATCCTTAGCTGAAACTGAGAGTCTGACTCTCAACCCACTGAGCCACCCAGGCTCCCCTGTAGTTTGCCATTTTAATGCAAACCTTGGAGGTGAACTTTACAGAGGGAGAAATCAGGGATAGGGAATAAGGATTCCTTAAAGTTATTACCATCTTTCTTTCTGAAGGTAAAGTTTCTGCCCATTCTTTTTTGTATGTGGAAATGTTCCCAATCTAAAGTAGAAGTTGTTCATTTTAGAGCAGAGGTATAGGATTTATAACATCTTGCCAAAATTTGTCTTATATGTTCAAGGCTATTAATGATGCCTATACAGTTTTTTCAGTTGCACAAAATTAAATCTATTGTTTGTTTTCTCTGATAAAGTTTTGTGTTTTGGGAAGAAATTTGATACCAACATTGGTTCACTGATCCTAATCTCTGGATATGCATTTAATTTTTTGACAATGTAGAGTATGTTTTGCTCTATTTCTATATTTGAGATTTTAAAGGATATAAACTGTTTTACATAATTAAAGCTGCTTGTTTTTCAGACACAGATATTGAAGAACTGCTTTTAAAATTGAATGATAGTGTTAAGAGCTCAGACAAAAATGTACGTACTAGGGCACTTTGGGTGATATCCAAGCAGACGTTTTCCACTGAAATCATTGGCAAAGTAGTGAGTATGGTTTTTATATAAGTTTTCGTAACTACGCACCACTTAAAAAATTCAGGTTTACTTGATTTGTATTTATTTGGTTCTGTCTTTTAGGTATCCACTATAATTGATTCATTAGAAATAGTATTTAATAGAGGAGAGCTGCATTCTGCTGTTGTTGATTATGAAGCATTAAATGTCATCATAAGGTATGAGTTTGCTGCTTTGGAAGAATAATTGCAGTACATTTAGAATTCACTTCAAAGAGTGGACTTTGGGAACTTGAGTTAGACATTTAAAGAACGGAAATGTCTTCTAAAAGTCTCAAGGAGAAAAGATAACAGGAAAAAGAAGGAATTAGATGAGTTTAAATTAGTAGGTTTCCTTGTTAATTTTTACTGAGTCATAAAAATAAAGTCTTGGTTGGGGTGCCTGGCTGGTTCATTTGGTAACGTATGCGACTCTTGATCTTGGGGTCATATGTTTGAGCCCCATGTTGGGCAGAGAGTGTACATAAAAATAAAGAAAAAGTCTTGGTTGTGCTGATGCTGGTAACAGAGTTCTGATTTTAAAAATTATTTCCATTAAAGCTTTTGCAAGAGTTTAAAGAATAATAGGCTTTCAAGTAGACTTAGGGGATATGTCAGAAGGCAATAACAGTGACTAGCAGCAAATGGGAGAACAGGAAAATCCCCTAACTTCTATCTATCCCTGTGCTTTAAAGGACATACTAACAGCACAAAGACTTTGTTGCTGTGATTTGTCTTACGTCGTTTTTCCATTCTTTAAAGTTTTCTTTAATTGAGCTATTTGCCTTAACTCTACTTAGTGTTCTGATGCCCTGAGTGATGCTCACATGTTACCATTCTCTGGCTATCTTCTAAAAGAATGTTAAATTTAATTGTATAAAAACATTGATACTAGGGATGCCTGGGTGGCTCAGTCAGTTAAGTGTCCGGCTCTTGATTTTTGGGTCAGGTCACGATCTCACAGTTTTTGAGATTGAGCCTCTAGTTGGGCTCTGCACTGACGGTGCGGCACCTGCTTGGGATTCTCTCTCCCTCTTTCTCTCTGCCCCTCACCCGCTTGCGTGTGTGTGCTCTCTCTACAAATAAATAACCATTAAAAAAAAGTAATATGGAAATCTACAAATTAGCAAGTAAAAGTTCGATCTGTGTGTGTGTATGCGTATATGTATATGTGTATGCGTATTCTGAAACAAATGGACTGTACTAGGTATATTTCTTTGTGCTGGTTATTTTCCTAGTAGTTTAGACATAAAAGGTGAGGTCAAGCTAATTTATTCGTTGACTTTTTTATTATAGGCTAATTGAACAAGCCCCAGTTCAAATGGGAGAAGAGTCAATTAGGTGGGCAAAACTGGTCATACCGTTAGTGGTTCATTCAGCCCAAAAGGTACATTTGAGAGGAGCAACTGCTTTAGAGATGGGAATGCCGTTGTTGCTTCAAAAACAACAAGAAATAGCATCTATCACAGAGCAGCTTATGACTACTGTAAGTATTACTTTAAGGATTTTTTTGGATACTGAATTGTAAATTTCTGGCCCAAGCTTAGAGCTCATAGTGGTATCATTTCATTATGATATAGGAAGTTCCTCTTCGAATAAAACATAAGTAATTGCTTAAGGTAGTGTAGGCACACTGCTCCTAGATTAAGGAAGGAGTGTCTATTCAGTGTTTGTAGGATCTAGGCATTTTACTTCACCAATGAATAGTGATTGAAAGGGATTGCATTTCTTTTTTTTTTTTTAATGTTTATTTATTTTTGAGAGCAGGAGAGACAGAGCATGAGCAGGGGAGGGGCAGAGAGAGAGAGAGAGATACATACAGAATCAGAAGCAGGCTCCAGGCTGTCAGTACCGAGCCCTACGCGGGGCTTGAACTCCCAAAATGTGAGGTCATGACCTGAGCCAAAGTTGGGACACTTCAACCAACTGAGACACCGAGGCGCCCCGAAAGGGATTGCATTTCTGGAAAAGGGAGAACATTAACTAATTTGAGTGCTATTTGGATTGTTTTACACAATCTCAATAGGTATAAATTTAAAGCGCATAAGTGCATATGATGTATTGTTTACTAATAACTTTTCCTAATAAGCTTTTCTATCTTTATTTCTTGTAACAAATATTTATTTAGCACCTGTATATGCCAGGCATTGTTTTAGACACTGAATATAGCAAAGAACAAAAGGAACTTGTGGAGCTTATTGTCTAGTGGGAGAGGCAATAAAGAATACAGTATATTCAGTGAAGAACATGATGGAAAACAGACTAGATGAAGAGTGCCATTGTAGAGGAAGGGTGTGGCAGTCAGGGAAGGAAAAAGAATAGGATATTTGAGCAGTGATTTGAAAGTGGTACAAGAATTAGCTACTTGGATAATATGGAGTAAGTTAATTCCAGGCAGGAGAAACTGAGAGCAAAGGGCCCTGTTCTGATGGTTGTGTGTTAGTTGGTGTTCAGTGAACACTGGCAAGGGCAACATGATAGAGTGAATGAGGGTGAGAGGATAGGAGATGATGTCAGAGGAACAGAGGGCCAAATCACATAGGACCTTGGGAGATACTGTAAGGAATTTTTCACTTTCTTTTATTGAAAACTGTATTTGAAGGTTTTGAGTATTGAGCGTTATATGTACTGACTTGGGCTTTAAAGGGATTCTTGTGCCTGTGTTGAGAATAGACTCTAGAGGAGTTGAGTAGAAGAAGGGAAGGTACTTCAGAGGTAACTTCAGTAATCCAGGTGTAGTGAGGGAGCCTTCCAGATTTTAAAACCTGGGATTTTGTTTATTTTTTAAAATTCAAGAGGCCTTATGGTAATGTTTGGAGACTACTAAAGTAGCTCCAATGTCTTTGCAAGTTTTTTTATTTTGATAAATTTATTTTCCAAGAGTATATATAAAATTCTTCATAAATTTGAACTAAAATGTTCTCAGGTGTCTGCTACCCATGAAGCTGTTAATGTATTTTTAAGTTAAAATGTTATCATTTGAACTCTTATGGTATACATGCTGGTTTTCTGGGAAACGTATATTGGTAGAAGAAAATTAAGCTCAATTGATAGATGGAGGAATGGCCAGATTTGTGATAAGACAGTTATCGTAAGATGTTAATGGTATGTATTTATATTTGGAAATTCAATGTAAAACTTTCAGCTTTGCTATATACTTGGAAATTTTCTAATAAAATATTGGGAAAAGCTATTCAACTAAGATAGTCTGATACTGCATATTTTGTTTTCCCAAAAGTCTTTTGGTAAATATTTTTGCATTTGTTTGCAGAAATTACTTTCAGAACTCCAAAAGCTATTTATGAGTAAGAATGAGACTTACGTGTTAAAATTGTGGCCTTTGTTTGTCAAACTTCTTGGGAAGGTAAGTCCACAGATCATGAATATTTCGTAGTTTATACATGAGTTTCTTTCGTGTCTTAACTTTACATGGTGGAGCTGATCCTATAGATGTAAATTCAGCTGCTTAATAAAATTTGTTTGCAAACCCACGGTAAATACTTTTGCTTTTCCAGTCAATTGCAAATCTGCAAAATGGCAAAAGAGATCCACCCCAGCGTGCAGGTTCCCAGCTGAGGTAGAGCAACGTTATGCGCTGCCTTTTTATTTGAGCTCTCAGTATTCATTTGTAAACAGATGTCCTTTTCATAATCCGCTTGGTGACATATTTTCCGCATTTTGTGCTTTTTCTTGGTGAATTTAGTTTTAAATGACCCTCAGGCTTAGTGCCAAAGTGTTGTCCATGATTCTTAAGCACAGGAAGATTATGTGATGTGCCCTGGGGAGAAATTATATGTATTATTTTTTAAAATTTTCTTTAATGTTTGTATTTATTTTTGAGAGAGAGAGAGAGAGAGAGAGCACATGCATGAGCGGGGAAGGGACAGACAGGGAGACGCAGAATGTGAAGCAGGCTCCAGGCTCTGAGCTGTCAGCACAAAGCCCAACGTGGGGCTTGAACCCACCGGCCACAAGATCATGACCTGAGATGAAGTTGGACGCTTAACCAACAGAGCCACCCAGGCGCCTCAGAAATTACATGTATTAGATAAGCTCTGTTCAGGCATGAGTTACAGTGCTGTTGGCTGTGAGTTCATTGTTCATGAATCAACAATACATACGGTATCTTTAAACAAATAAATATAAGATTGATGTCGATTGGTTGACAGAAAAGGTTCTCATAGGAGCCTAACCTGCATCTTCCCTAGGAGCAAGGGCTCAGTACTTGCTTAACACAGTGTTTGCAGTGGACTTTATAGAACTTAATTCTGATGAATAATGAGGATCAACCACGTGTTCTGTCTTCTTTAAGCCAGGTTTTTTTTTTTTAAGTTTTTTTTTTTTTAACGTTTATTTATTTTTGAGACAGAGAGAGACAGAGCATGAACGGGGGAGGGTCAGAGAGAGGGAGACACAAAATCTGAAACGCTCCAGGCTCTGAGCTGTCAGCACAGAGCCCGATGCGGGGCTCGAACTCACGGACCGTGAGATCATGACCTGAGCTGAAGTCGGCCGCTTAACCGACTGAGCCACCCAGGCGCCCCGCCAGGTTTTTTTCTAAGGAGAGGGGAGGTGTTTTTCTTTCCTGTGATAAATAAACCTATTTATCGTAACCGTCCTACGTACATTTCATTGTCATTAAATATATGCACAAGTTTTGTAAACGTCACTATTATCTATACCCAAAACTTTATATTCGCCAACAGTTTTATATATGTTAAGCAAGAACTTCTTTAGTCTCCTAGCCCCAGCCTCTGGTAACTGCTGTTCTACTTGCTGTCTCTATGGATTTGCTAATTCTAGGCATCCCACATAAATGGAATCATGCACTATTTGTCTTTCTATTTATGGTTTATGCTAGACATTTTTTCAAGTTTTATTCATGTTGTAAAAATTAACTAAATTTCATTCTTTTTTACAACTGAATATTTCATGGTGTGTAACTCAGTTTGTTTACTCATTTGTTGACAGATATTTGAGTTGTTTCTACCTTTCAGCTATTGTGAATAATTGCTGTGAACTTTGGTGTACAAATATCTTTTGTATTCTCTACTTTTCGTTCTCTTGGATGTATGTGTAAGAGTGGAATTGCTGGTTCCAAACTGTTTTCCACAGTGGCTGCACTATTTTACATTCCTACCAGTAATACACCAGGGCTCCAATTTTCCCACATCCTTGCCAAACTTGTTTTTTTTTTGTTTTTTGATATGATAGCCATTCCAGAACATTTTGTTTTGTAAAACTGGGCCATTTTCATGTTTTTGACAATACAGTAAATAGTTCTCTTGGTGATTGCAGACATACAAGAAATAATCATAGTAATGGTGGGTTTTCCTGATTGGTGTGCAGTCTTCAGTAATTGTAAAGAGTTACTTGTATGTAACTGCTGTCAAGCCAGTAAGACCGCATCTCTGCATCCATCATTTTCAGGATTGCTAGTAACTTGGGCATATTTCTCCAGAATAACCTTACGTGTTTCTTGTGTCACAGGACCCAGCTTGCTTACATTTTTGTCCATGACAATACCTTTGGTAGTAATACCCAAAGTTGTATATAGTGGGGATAAAGGGTTTTTCTTTATACCATATGTTGAGGTAAAAGGTGACTTTCAGGCTGAGCTGTATTATGTCGGCCTTCTTGAAACATAAGTCTATTGGCCTAATGAATTTTTCACATTTAGGTGATTTTCGTATAAAGCCGTTTCCAGTGGAGCAGACTAGTTACAGCAACCAACCTCTTTTTTCTCTTTCCTGTTTGAATAACTTAGAATTTCTTTCTTCCTGGGCATTAACCTTGGGCAGAGGGCCTTCCCATTTTCCTGCTTCCCCTTTCTGGTTTTAATCATATTTGAAAGTACTTTAGCTCAGGGCTGTCCCACTGTGTCCGGTAGATAGCAGGTACTATTCCTTGTGAATCTTTTAGTCACTCTTAAGTTTGGTGTTTCCCTTTAATACGTTTTCTTAGTCGTAGTTTTTATTTGTATTTTTTTTCTAGCACGGTGCTGTTTATGGTAGTGCTTAGCTTTCACACCAGTTTGAACATTCTAGAGCTTTCCTTTTGCTTTTTCTCATGGTAATCCAAGTGATATCCATAGTAGTTATAGTGTAACTCAATAAGTTGTTTTGTGGCTGGTGGGTTTTTGTTTTTCTAGAGAGCAAGAGCACTGGGGAGTTGTTGGGAGAGGGGGAGAGAGAGAGAGAGAGAGAGAGAGAGAGAGAGAGAGAGAGAATCAGCACCGTCTATGCCCAGCACAGAGCCCGATGTGGGGCTTGATCCTAGAGCCCCACCGTGAGATCATGCATGGCCTGATCTGAAATCCAGACTTGAATGTTTAACCGATTGAGCCACTCAGGCAGCCCTGCCCACTTTTTATTTGGGTGTTTCATTTTTGTTGTTGAGTTGTAGGAGGAGTTCTTTATTTTGGATGTTAACCCTTATAGGTCTGGGATTTTCAAATATTTTTCAAATATCTTTTCAATTGATAATATCCTTTGGTGCACAGGAGTTTTTAGTTTTTAAGTTTATTTTGAGAGAGAGAGAAAGTGAATGAGCAAGGGGAAAGGCAGAGAGAGTGAGAGAGGGTATCCCAAGATGTGGGGCTTGAACTCACGAACCATGAGATCATGCATGACTCGGGCTAAATCCAAGAGTTGAATGCTAAACCGACTGAGCCACCCAGGTGCCCAGGAGTTTTTAGTTTTGAAGTCCCATAAAAACTAGATTTTCTTTAATTGCCTGTGCTTTTGGTGTCATAGACATGAAATTGTTGCCAAATCCAGTGCCATGAATCTTTTTCCCTGTGCATTTTTGTAGGATTTTTATAGTTTTCGTTCTCATAACTTTTTATATTTGATTCCTTTTGAGTTTATTTTTGTATTGTGTTGAATCTGTAGATTGCCGTGTGTAATAATTGACATTTTAATGGTATTAAAAAATCTTTCTATACACGAACATGGGATGGTTTTCCATTTATTTAGGTCTTTTTAAATGTTTTTCGGCAATACTTGATAGGTTTTAGTGTACAAGTCTTTCACCTCCTTGGTTAGATTTATTTCTAAGTTTTAATTCTTTTAGATGCTATTGTAAGTGGAAATACCTGATTTCCTTTTCAGATTGTTCATTGCTGTTGTGTAGAAACACAGGTGATTTTTGTGTGTTGATCTTGTATACTGAATTTATTAGCTCTACTAGCTTTTACTTATGGATTCTCTAAGCAAGTTATTTTTTGTTATTTATATTCTGTTCAGTTTGGATGTGATTTACAGCCGGTTGAGATTGCGGTTTCATTTTTAATGTATTTTTCCTTGTTACTCATAATTTACTTGTCATCTGTCCATTTTTCCCTTAATGTTTTGTCTTTTTGAGTATATTTTAAAAAACTATTTTTATTAGTTTCAGGGTTCAACATTTCTTACTTTTTTTTAATTACTGATTTCCTTACGGATACCGTTATGTTGGTAAAATTTGAGATTTTTCTTAAACCTTCCTCATTTTCTCTAATGTCAGAAATGTTCTGTGTTATGCATTATGTACTTTATGGAGCCTTATATTTTGTGATCTTGAGTTTTGAGTGCACGTATAAAAATCAGTACATTTTAAACTTAAGTTTTTAAGACTTTACATAGCTAACACTGAATGAATTAGGTTAATAATAGTGCCTGTATATTGTTTTAGTCAGGTAAATAACTTTCTAATGATTTTTCATTTTTAGACCTTGCATCGAAGTGGGAGTTTCATTAATTCTCTATTACAGCTGGAAGAACTAGGATTTCGTAGTGGAGCACCCATGATTAAAAAAATAGCATTTATTGCCTGGAAGAGTTTAATAGATAATTTTGCTTTGAATCCAGGTAAGTCAGTCTTATTTAAAATTTTTGATTTTTCTATGGATTTCACTCAAGCAAGATGAAAAGAACAAAGCTTTTCTGATCTTTTGGGCTTTATATTGAAATAACCTGTTAAATTTTTTTTTTTTTTAAGAGAATAAACTTGTAGCTAAAAATAGAATTTAAAAGGCTAGGCATTTTTGAAATTTACAGCTAAAAAATTATGATTGCTATGGAACAAAAGTATCAGTGACTGATGAACTTTTTCAGGACCTTTGGAACAGTACCTAATAGTGGGTCATTGCTACTAATCTATAGAATTGACTCCTTTTCATTTACTTTATCTTCCTGTTACCTAGCGGAGGTGTTTGATATATAGTTGACCCTTGAACAGTGTGAGAGTTAGGGGCACCAACACCCCACCACAATTGAAAGCCTGTATATAACTTTTGACTCCCCCCACATTTAACTATAGGTAGCCCACTGTTGACCAGAAGCCTTACCAATAACATAAATAGTTGATTAACCTGTATTTTGTTTATGTATTGTAAACTCTGGTCTTAGGATAAAGTAAGCTAGAAAAAAGAAATGTTAAGATCATAAGAGGAAATATCTTTACTATACTATAAAAAAAAAAAAAAAAACT